TTTGCAATTGAATAGATAATAATATATGTTGAATAAAGAAATGCCATAACTGCTCCTAATGGTGATATATTTTTATGTTTAGATTCAAGACGTGTTAAAGAAGATTGAATATAAGCATCAAGAGATATATCACCAACAGCTGAAGCAAATCCAATTGGAACTAATGATGCTGACATTATCCAAGCATATTTAATTTGATCAATAGGAGGATGATAAAATGGAATATACCATATAACAAATAACATTAATGCATCTAATCGTACCCATAATATCGGACTTTTCATTGTATCATTAAAATAAAAAACAAATAGAGCACCAAACAATTCTCCAAGATTAGAACCACCAACAAGTATTTGTGACCAATCTGAATGTTGTAAAAAACGTTGTGCAACTTGTGGAGCAATACTATTTTCAATATATCTATGTGAATAAACAGCTAATGGATAAACAGCAAATAACCAAATAAATTTTCGACTAGTAAAAACAATTTTTGCACCAGTATAAATTGATTGTAGAAAAGAGAAAAGTGTTAAAGCAATAGCTTTGAAATAATTTACTTTTGTTTTTTTTACATGTGATGAAATTTCATTGTCGTCAATATTTGTCTTATTTTGAACGGAATGAATGAATAACCAAATTAAACCTGATGTAACAAATAAAACAGGTGTTATAATAAATGCATGATTATTTCCTAAATGTGGAATTAATACAAGAGCAGTTGTTAATGCTCCACTAACACCAGCAATTTCATAAAAAATATGAACTAAAGCATTCATTTTTCGTAATTTAACAATATTATCACCAACAATATTAGCTGGAATAACACGTCGAATTGATTCAACCATTCCAAATGTTACACCCGATAGACAATAGATTGGTATAATTATATCAGTACGATAATCACCATAATAACTAAAATCATTTTTATGTTTTGCTACAAAATTTTTTGGTTTTATACTTCCACCAGTTATAACATCAACTACCATAAAAATGGCTGTTGATAATGCAAAAATAAATATTGTTGCTGAAAGAACCATTTGTGTTCGGCAACGTTTAATAAGTGGACCAATTAACATTGAACCAATACATTGTGATGCTTGATTAAGACCAATAAGTAATCCAACGCTTTGAAATGTACGTGTCAATGTAACAGTTTCGTATGCATCTTGATCATAACGATTTGTAGCAAGTGTAACAATAGCACCATTAAATGCTTCCACACCAAATTTATATAGCATTATACCAATGATATAAATGAGAATATTTCGTTTCTCTAGAGTAGTAAAAAGTGCTGATGCACCGAATAATTTAAACCTTTCAAGAACCATTTGTTTACGACTAGAATCAAAATGAAGAATCTTGTTAAAACACACCCTTCTTTTCTTACATTCAATTGATTAATATAAACATACGGACCGCTTGATTTTATTAATCACAATCAATAGAAATAACGTCTTTGTTGTTAAATAAATATAATACGGCTTATATGCTCTGAAAAAGACAAAACAAGTGCTTTACATACTACTGACTATATAAGCATTTCTTTCTTTTAATATTCTTTCCATTCTATAGTCTAATACACATCGATATTCGAATAAAGTCTATTCTCTTCTTTTTTTTTACTTTTCCTTTCATTTTATATTTGTATCTTTTCATATTCTTATACTTTGAGAATATATATCACTTGATATTAGTTATGCAATTTTATATATAATCGATTATTCAGATGTTTTATTTCAAATTTTGTAAACATTTTGAACATAGATTTCAATAGACTAGTAATATATACAGTTAATTAAACAATCAATGCAGTATGTTTTAATATAAAGATAGTAGATAAGCATCAACAGAGGACTCATATTAATAACCTTTACCATGTCTTCTCCTTCTTCTTCTTCTTCTTCTTCTTATCATTTCTTTCGTTTATTTCAAACACTCAAGTCAAATATGTCGTTATTCGTAATTTGAGCATATTTTATTTTTTTAGATAAATTTAATCAATGGCAGTAGCTAGTTCAGAAAGTCGACCAGAAATTGCTCGTTTACCTGCTCAAAGTGTAATGAAAGAAAAACAGATATGCTAAATATCTTACAAATAATCAATTTCTTATTTAGACTGCATCTGAGAATCCTTATGAACCACCAGATAATTTCTTAGAAGTTGAAGTTGTCAATCCAATAACTCATGGTTTAGCTGGTAATAGATATACTGATTATGAAGTTCGAATGAAAGTAATATTTATATATATAAGTTTTTTCAATAATTGTACTATTTATTGTAGACTAAATTGCCTGTATTTCGATTAAAAGATTCTACTGTACGTCGTCGTTATTCTGAATTCGAATGGTTACATAAAGAACTTGAACGAGATAGTAAAGTAAAAATAACTTTCCATTGTTTTTTTTAACAAAATTGATATATTAATTTTTCTCTTTAGATTGTTGTACCAGCATTACCAGGTAAAGCATGGCAACGACAAATACCTGCATTTCTTCGTAAAAATGATGGTATATTTGATGATGATTTTATTGAGGAAAGACGTAAGGGGCTTGAAGAATTTATTATTAAGTATATAGAAAAATATTTTGGTATTTTTAATCCTATTATATTATTGTTTGTATAGAGTTGCTGGTCATCCATTAGCACAGAATGAACGTTCACTTCATGTATTTTTACAAGAAGAAAAAATTGATTATGATAAATATGTTCCAGGAAAAGTACGAAATGCTTAAAATAAACTAGAAACTAATAATAAAGTTTTCTTTTGAAATATTTATATATTTATATATCGAAAATAAAATAGGAAAATAAAGCAATAGTATTCAATCTTCTATGCATGATTATATATTTAATTTTGATAAAATATTTGAATATCTTGTGTTATACCTAGAAAAGAAAAAAAAAGATGAAGGCAAATTCGAATAGATAACAGTTATCTTTTCACGTAGTTGGAAGAACAAAAGTCTAAAGTTTCTTCTACCAATAAAGTAACTTTATCAAATAGACATCTGTATATTATATATGACTTAAATATTAAAGGAAAAATCTTGTTCTTTCCATTAATGATATTGTGAAAGACATTATCCAGATGCAAGATTTCTCTTACTGATTACAGTTAATTATAAATATCTATGTAACATAAAATTCCAGCATATATCTCAAGATGTCTCCTATTTAATATAAGAATGAAACTTGTATTGATTTTAATATTATGATATAAATGTTCACATCATTGTTATATTCTCATTATTTGAAAAGATCTGTATGTCTCAGTAGACTTTTATATTTAGCATTTGTTGTTGGATATATATCATTCTTTGACAAGGTCATTGCCATCAATAGCGATCTTGTTCTTTGCAAATTGTCACATTTATTCAATGCTTAGTTTTATGGATCCAATCGATAATACAGACACCAATATATGATAGACAATTTGTTTGTTCTCAATGCAAAAAGAAAAAGAAGAAAAGGAACGTATCAAGGGAATAAACATATCGTACGGCAAAAATAGATATTATGTCAGTGATTATATTTTTTTCTTTCTTTTTCTAAGTTTCTTTTTTGTCTTGCAATGACGTCAATAAAGTTGGTTGATGCGTTACTTTTGATTATCGCAATGCTAAAGAAGAAATAAACCAAGCAACTGTTGTTGTTTTTACTGTTAATTTTCCATCTTGTCAATTATTCTAATTTACAAAACGCTACCATATTTTTCTACTTAAGTAACAACTAGATATCTCGTATGTATATATATATTTATAGATACATATATATACACACATGTACATATATTTTGACATAAAAAGTAAAGAAGAAAAAGAAACTAATCAAACAATCGATTTCGACAATGGTTAAGTATAGATTTTTTAATTTGGAAATTACGTAAAGTTTTTAATTGTGTTCGTTCATTTATATTTAAAATAGTTGTACAACGTTTTTGTAATTTATCGAGATTTTCATGTATAGTAATATTATGACAATCATTTTTCGCTCGTGTTTCTAATAGATTTATTTCATGTTTTAGTTTAATACCGATTTCAAGTAATTCATCATAGTTATTTGAGGAATTCTGTGAACTTTTCTTAGCCATTTGTAATAATTCATTCGCCGTATTTTTCATTCGTTCAATAGCACATAGATAAATTTCAATACGTACAGAATATTTTGTTATTTCCCAAATATGATTTTGTAAATCGAGTAACATTTGTTCATTTCGATCATCTAAAATATCCTGTCGTTGTTTAACAGTTAATAAAATAAGATTCATATGACGTATTTTATCTTTAAATTCTTTCAATTGTTCGGGTCCACCTTGAAATGAATTAAGATCAATTGTTATTGTACGAAATGTTTCTTTCACTTTAATTAATTCATTTTGTATATCACGATTAAGAGCATCAAATCGATTACGATTATATGGTGAAAGTAAACGACGTGTACCTTCACTTACAGTTGAATCTTCTGATATAGTTATTGATTGAAAATCATCATGTGAAGAACTTAAACTCGTCATTATTGGTATTTATTTATGAATAATATTCCAATAGAAAGCAGTGCAGGCTACAATGAGCCAGCAACTGCTATTATACATCTATTATTGAACTAATATTTTATTATTATAAAAACAAAAACAATACATAAAAGAAAATCGACAAATAAATGGCGCGTTTAGACATCTATCATAAACAAACATAATTTATTAATATCATAGTTACAGATTAACAATACAGTTTTACGGTAGGGAATTTTGAAATCTTATTATTATTATTAAACAGCTGCCATTTGCTTTCGAGCTTAATCAGCCCACAGAGAAAAGCGTTTTTAACAGATTATCAATTTATCATTCAACAGAGTAACTAAATGAATGTTGATAGATTGTCCAGACGTTAAGAATATTGCGTTAGAACATGATTTATACATTAATGTCTGTTTTCTAGACAAGTGTAAAAAGAGAACAGAAAAAAGAATAACTCAAACTAAAACAAGATGTTCTTCTAGTATTGTCTATATACAACAAAAAGAATTACTTATAGATGTATGTGCACGCAAGCAAATACGAAAAAGAAGCATATTTCAAGATAATAATGAGATAAACAAATAGAACTGTATAGAAATCTGTTTATTTTTCTATTTTCAGATTAATATCGTTAGTTCTAAGATATTAAATTAGCGTTATTATGTGTGGCTATATTATTTATTAAATAAAATGATCTTCATAATGATTTTACATGTACACACTGTTGAATTCTACTAATTCTACTGTAAATCGTTCGAAGAATGATAGTGATCGTGTTGTCTTCACGCATTCATCAACATCATCAACACTTGATAATATATCCAGTATATTTTTAATTTCTATTCTTTCTGTTTTATGTTTTCTGGGTGTTATTTTCATGATCTTTGGTCCTATGATGAGATCGGAAGCTTGGAAACGTGTAGATAATTATATATTTGGTCAAGATATGGAACATGAAGATCAAGATGAAGGTGGTGCAGATAATGGTGACGGATAAACTTTTCTTATATTGTTAATAATTGTATTTTAAATTAATGTTTTTTCTTCAACTTTGTTTGTTTTATTAAAAAGAAAAATTTTACTAGACTTTCAAAAATAGCTTTGAATAATTTCAAATCTATATGATTTATTTATAAAAGATATTTACGAAGCCACATAACAGTAGTGAAAGCTGAAAGAGAAAACCTAAAAAACAAGTCAATAGAGAATATAAATGTTTTATTCATGCACTAATTCTAATTACCATGTAGCAATATATGAAAGATGTTCATTACGTAATTGAATATTTGTTTGTCCACCAATAGGTCCACCTGGAACAGATGTGCCTAGAATAAGATAACATTTAGATATATACTATAGCAATTTATCTTATTGTTAGTGGAAATTACTTTTCACTTCATCGATAAAAATAGGTGCTGTTTTCATAGCTGCAGCCATTTCAGCAACATCACGTGTACGCCAAATATTTCTTGATGGTTCATTTTTATTCCACATTGTATTTAACTAAATATAGTCAATAGAATAATAGTTCTTCTATTTCATCATATTAAACTACATACATAGTCTGTTGATCGAAGTAATCCAATGATTTCATGTTCATCTTCAATCTAAAAGTATTATATATACATCATTTTAATATTCAATATGATTCTACTTGTCCAGAAATTCGAGTTGATGGATCTTTTAAGTCAAATGGAACATAACCACGATTAACAAGAATATCATAACTATAAAAAAAAACAAAAGAAAATGATGAATTTAAATTAATTACACTTACTTTCGATTTGCAACTCGAAATGGTGTAATAACATGCGCACCATGTGTTGTCTGTGAAGTAGACGCTTGTCGTGAACTCGCTCGATTATCATGAGTAAGAAGATCAAGACGTGAACGAGGTTCAATAAAAATTTCACGTGAATGATCAAATTTACCTCGTACACGAACTGGATAGTATTCTAATTCAGGCAAACGATCTAAACTAAAAATAAATCAATCCTATGAATTCTTTTTTGTTTTATAAAATGATATAATAACAAACTTTTCAAGTAATGAAATAGGTTCAGCATCTATACGTGATTTTAATGTTTGAATTAAATTAATTTTCCATTTTCGACGATTAACTTGCCAACAACCCAATAGAAATGTACTTACTGGAATTATCTGAATAAATTATTTTGTAAATATATCAAAAGATTAGCTTGAGGAAACATCGAAACTACTTTGAAAAACATACGAGTAAAAACAGAGCACCACTATCAATTTTATCTTTTTTATTTCGTTTTGATAATGTAAATGGTCGATTATTCGATTGATAGATTGGTTTACTAATATGAACATGTCGAAATACTGCTGATATTTGATTTGATAGATAAGGTCGAACGAAAAGAATTTGTCGTGAAATCATCTTAAATATAATAAAGAATATATATATTTCTATTTATTCAATAATACAAAAAGAAAAATAGGAAGATGTAGATATTATCTTCGACAAATAAGCATAAAAAAATATTGCTTAAAATAAGGCGAGAATAGCAAGTTCTATAATATTAAGATTTTTGACGAAAATATGCTTCAAGTGCTGGAATAATTTGTTTTTTTCGACTAATTCTTGATCCTAAATCAGCTACATGTTGTTTGTTAATATCAACTTGAAATGCTTGTCGTACAACATTTTCTTCAATTTCACCAGGAATTAATGTTAAATTTTTTTCTTTAATTATATCAACAATTGAAAATAGAATACCTTTTAAATTACTTCTTTTCTTTTCTTTATGCATTTCTTTAAGTAAATCATCTTTTCGTTCAAGCATTTTATTCATATCACATGTTTCACCTGTACCAATACCCCATTTTTCATTATTGAATGTATATGTTTTATAATCAAGGAGAAGAATTTGTTTCGAAGAAAATTCTTTTAAATCACTCTTCGCTTCAAACATTTGATTTGCATATGATTTTATATTATCGATTTTAGCAATTGGTACAAGATATTCTAATATTTTTTGATCATCATTGGTCGTTGTTGGTGATCTACAATAGAATAAAATGTGAGTGAAATTTATATTTTAAAATTCATTACCGAAGATGAAGTGTATCACTGAGGATAGCACTAGTTAGTAAAAAAGCCATTTTTTGATTAATGTCTAAATTATTTTCACGATATATTTTTGTTAAAATTGTTGCTGTACATCCAACAGGTTCGAAACGTAAATAAACTGGTTCAGATGTTGTTAAATCACCTAATTTATGATGATCAATAACATGAGTAATACACATTTTATGAATATTTTCCATTGATTGTTGACCTAGAGATGAAATCAAAAAGAATAAAGTAAATAAATAAATAAAATTATTCAATACTTTCATTATGATCAACTAAAGCAACTTGTGTTCCATCGGGAATATTATCAGGTAACATATCGGGTTCTTTAATTCCAACTTGTTTAAGTATAAATTTTGTTTCATTATTAAGATTACCAAGACGATAAGCTTTTGCATTGATATTCATTTGACGAAGTAAATCTGTATAAACTATTGCTGCTGTTATAGCATCTGTATCGGGATTACGATGACCGATAACAATAGTTTCTTTATTTGCATTTTTTTGTGCCGATGAAAGAGCTCGATAACCTAGTGGACCTTAAAGAAAAAGGTAAGATATTTTCTCTATTGCATAGTAGACAGAATGGGTTTGTTAAACTAAGTTATACGGATAATAGTTATTAGTCAAGCAAAAGCGAATATATAACATGAAAACTACCTACTTTTCAATACAAATTTTGAAATAGATGGGAAAACTCTATTGGCTAATGTATTCATTTAACAGATCTATAAAATATAGATATATGTATATATATATTTACTTTCATATTCTTTTTATTTTAACAAAAATAATATCTCTTCTTTCGTATGTTTAACTATTCAAAATCAAAAAAAAGAAGAAAGAAAACATCAGTTCATCATTGTTACATTATACACAATAATCATAACAGAGAAGAAAAAAAATCAAATACAAATAACAAAATGAGAGTAATAAAATCAACAAGAAAATAATGAATCTATATATAAAGATATCCTATATGTTTTATTATAATAAATTTGTATCAAAATCTGACTAGAAGAAAAACAAAATCAAAAAAAAGCATAGGAAAAAAACATATCACTAGATTTTTCCAAGTACAACTTAAGTATATATCTAAATATTTTTAACGTTGAACAAGTTGTGTAAGTAGGGCATTTGTTGTATTAATTGCTGCAATAGCTTGTTCAAGTAAACGATTGTGTCGACGTTGTTCAGTAATCATATTCATTAAATTATCATTTAAATTATTATCATTATTTTGTGTATCGGAAGACAATGATTGAGTCGTAGTATTCAAAGTATCAGAAGGTTTTACAGTAGTAATAGTTGCTGGTGGTATTTGTGGTAAACTTATATGATTATTTAATTCAATAGATCGTTTAGGTTCAATTGGTTTTGATTGAATTGGTAATGAAATTGGACGTACAGCTAAAATAAATAATATTTCAATTATAATCTCAGCAAGAACATTTGACTTCTCACTTTCATTGGATGTTCGTGAAATATTCTCAACAATCGTTGGTGGTGGTGACGGTGTTACGACTTTACGTACAGGTTGTTCATTAAATGTTTTTGGTACCTTTGATACAAAAATTAATAATCTTTTTATCGAGTTTTAAATTTAACAAACTTCATTAGTTGCTGGTGTGTTTTGTATTTGTTGTTGTTCTTTTTTATTACGTAATTCAATCATATATTCAGTAAGAGATTTTCCACTGTTACTTAATTCAATAGAATAGATATCTTGATCTTTTGAAGTAATTTTCATATCGAGCCGATCAGTTTCAAATTCTTTTAAAAGTAAATAACGTTCATCATCAGTTAATTTTATATTAGCTAATTTAATTTGTACACTTTGCCATGGAATATTTCGTAACATATCTGGACATTCATTTAAATGATTAATTGAAACAGTTTCTTCATTACCAAAATCAACAAAATATACATGAAAACCAGTGTCTAATAGAAAACCAAATTTACGACAAAACAAAAAAATTAAAATTTCAATACCTGTAATATTTTTAATCCATGCTCGATACCAAAGATCATCACCATCGTATTGTGCACAAACAAGTGTATCGACTTTTGGTTGTTTAGTTAATGGTTGTTTATCAGCACTCCAATCTTTAAGTACATTCATAATTGTTGGAAGATGATTATTCATTAATAAAACATGAAAACATTCAGATTCATTATCAACTGTTGTTAATTGTACAGAATGCGTTTCATTTACATTCATTTCTGATTTATTTGAATCAAAATTAATTATTTCATTTTTTGAATTTTGTGAAACCTATTTAAAGAAAATGAATAGAGTATGTTTTTAAGTTAGTCTTATTCTCTTACAGTTGTTGTTGGCGGTGGTGATGATGATAGAGATGATTGTGGTAATATTGAACCTATTTCAGCATTTAAATCTCTTTCACCTAAATTGAGTTGAACATATGGAATATCTTTGTCAATACGTATTACAGTCATATCAAGTTTAACATCAAGAACTATAAGAAAATTTCAAATAAATTTCAAATTATATTTTTCAGTGAATTAGTTTACCAAGTATTTCAAGAATAGCATTCGTTTGTTCATCAGATATTTTTTCCTGAGTAGATATTCCATTCAAAATACATTTTACACACAAAATTGGATCTTTATAATATCTAAATGAAAAGAATATGTATTAGGAAAACATTGTTTTTTTGGGATATTGTCTATTTAGATTCAAGTGTAAGTAATAAGTACTTACTCATTTGGTAATGATCGAATTTCAAGAATTGAATCACACCATCCAGTATTACCCCTAAAACAGAGATAGGTATAAAAAATTTACGCAAAAAAAAATGAAAGCAAAAGTTTTACCAATCAATATATTGAACATAAACACGATTTTCATCAATTTCTAATATACGAGCTCGATACCAATCTCCATTAAATAGCGCAGCACACCATTGTCCAACAGCCAATCGGCTTAAAAAGAAAAATGATTTCATATTTTCGTTCAATTTAACTCTTCACATCTCCTTTACTTTAATTTATAAGAATTAGCTTGAATGTTTGTAAGTTGTTCATGTTTATTCATTTGTGTTATAAGTAAAGTTGCATTAACATAATCATCTAATGTTGCTGCAAATATGACATTTGGTACTTCAAGATTTGACAAATAAACAATATATGTCTTATTTATGACAAGTGGATCATGTTCACGAATATTTAATGTTGGTTCTAAATAAGAAAATTTTTCTTTTTAAACAAATCGAAATAATAAGTTTTCTATTATACCATTTTCAAATGAACTTTTATTAGTTTTTTGCTCGATATTTGTACTATTCCATAATGGTTTATTATTTGTTTCCGATTCATTTGTAATCGAAGTTGTATTTGTTGATGAACGTGTACTAGAAGATCGAAAACCACTAAATCGATTTTGAACATTAGGTGTTGATGCACCATTATTTTCATCATTCGTTTCTCCATTAGTACGACTACTGATCATTAAATTAAAATTCTTTTAACTCTAAAGCAAATAATTACTTACAATCCATTTTGTGGTCGATCGAAAGTCTTATTATTATTCATTCGTGTCTAGAAAAACGAAAGATAAACTTTATTCCAAATCCTAAAAATAGAATTATTTACTTCTGAATGATTAACACGTAAAGTAAATCGATCAATAGCAAAACCATTCATACTTTCAACTGCTTTTGCACAGCTATCAGCATCAGCAAAATTAACAAAACTAAAATTTGTTAGACAAATGCATATCTATACACATTCACATTTTAAATAAAACTCTTACCCGCAGCCACCATCAAAATTTGGATTCGCCGGTAAAACTTTACTTGATGTAATAGGACCAAATTTTGAAAAAAGTTCTTGCAATTGACTCTAGATAAATAATAAACATAAAAATAAGCTTTTTTTCAACCGAATGATCTACTTCATCATAATTTGTTGGTAAATTTTTAACAATAATACTATTAACACGTCTGTGAAATTAAATTATAGTAAAGAAAATAAATTATATATTGGAAATCAATATTTCTATTTACCTTGCTAAATCATTCATGATTAGAGATTGTTTCTATATGATGTAAAATTGGGGAAAAACGATGTTAAATTTACTACGATAGAGGTGCATACATATACGATCGAGAAAAATACATAAAGAAACGATCAATAAACGGATTGGTTAGATCTTATCAAACCAAATGAATCATAATAGACTTTATGAAAAAAATAAAACGAAAGAAACAACAATAATAATAAATACATAACACACATGTTTCGTTGTTATTTGAGCTTCGTTTATAACGTAACATCTGACTACAATACTCGTCAGTCTTTTTTCAAGGCAAACCAACTAACGACAGCTGGTGGTCTGTCTTATGTAAATCACAAAAGAAGCCACAAATAATTGACAGACACATTTTAAATATATTCTTGCTTGAAGAGACTCATGAAAACGAGAAACATTAATAGATTTTTCTTGATAAAAATATATACATAGATAAAAGTCCAAAATATCATTTCTTTTTTTTATTATAGATTATTCGTTTCTCCTTGTTTTGAACAAGTAGAATATTTAACTATGTCTTTCTTTAGTCGATTATTTAAACTTCGAATATTCGTATGCTATATTTTTTTTTATTAATTTTATTAATAAAAAACGATTTATATCTTATAGAAATTTCGCCATACTCTTGCTGAAGAACTTGAAGATCTTCATACAGTAAGCTTCATTATTTTTCATAATTATATTATTTTTTTTTCGTGTTTATCTATGTAGGAATCACTTCATTTACAGCAAGTATTAACTCAGACACGTCTCCAACAACGCATATGGACGAAATGGTTTGCTATCTATGCTATACTCGCATATTTAGCTTTGAACGTCGTTTATTTTACTTTATTCCTTTCACATGAGTATCTAATTCGTACTTATGCAATCATGATCTCTGTAACATTGGGAGCATTGTAAGTATCTGTTTTTTTTGTTGTTGATGAAAAATTATTTATATTTAAAAATAAAAGACTTTATGGAATGTATTGGCTTCTTTGTTGGTATTTTCGAACAATGATTCATATGAAAGGTTTGTCAATGTATATAAAATAGAAGAAATCATAATTTCTTTTTATTCTATGTTTTTAGAGGATCGATTAGCATTATTCAAAGATCGAAAACAAGAATTGGTAAGAATTGCGTGCATAATAAAATAAAATAAGGAAAATGTTTTTTTTTTAATTTTTAGATTGAAGAGGTGAAAACTAAAGAAACATATGCAGTAGCTAAAAGTCTCTTAGAAAAATATGGCGAAACAATTACACCTGCAGTTCAACCATCAGCAACCGAAGCTGCTAATACAAGTATGTCTATCTTAACAAGTGAAGCAGTCAGATTGATTTCTTTGTTTTTTATTTTTTAATAGATGTTCGTCCACGTGTATCAGTTCAACCAACAACAGCTGGTGCAAATAAACCACCTGTTTCTGGTATAATATTTAATTCTTCGTTTTTTTGAAATAAAAATATTTTTTTATATTTAGTTACACCACCTAATATCGGTAGATTAGAATCAAGTAATACACAAACACCAATGAGTGGTGGACCCATTCGTCCAACAGGTAACTATAATTACTAATATAACTATTAAAATTAACCTTCTAAATCGAATTTAGTGGGTGCTACACCTGGCAAATTACCGCGGGCAATTTTACCACCACAACGAACATTCTGGGGAGCAATTCTCGATGTTATTGTAGGTGATGGTCCATCAAAACGGTAAGATTATCATATTTTTCTTATTCGAATAAAAATTTAAAATCGGTCGGAGTTTTACATATTACAGTTTAATTTGCGACGAGCGTTTACATGAACGATGGAAATTTCGATTTCGGTAGAATGATCTTAAATCTAGGATAAGGTTTATGGTTGTATTATGTTTTTTGGTTAGATGATTTATCATTTGCTTTATTAGCTTTTCTTTCGAATACGTTGAATTCACCTTTTTCTTCTTCTATTTAGCTATGCATTAATCTGTAAATCCTGTAATAGTCATAATGGTTTGTTATTTTATCAATTGAATAAATAATAATAATAGTGATTTTTGTTATACTTTTTATAGGCATGGCACTGGAAGAAGAATATGAATATTTATGTATGATTAATCTTATTAATTTAGTAATAAATATTGCCTAAGTTTCTATTTAGCTTTTCGTTGTGCCTATTGTAATTATTTTAATAGTGCTCGTAAACAAAAACCGGTCTTTCATGGTGATATTGTTGCTCATGATCCACAACCAGCAGCAGCAACAACAGTAAGTCAAACACAAGCTGAACCAACAGTTACACGTACAGACTTATCATCTTCAGAATCATCTGATGCAAACGAAGGTATATTTCATTTTTATGATTTATTCATATTTCTATTATCTTAATGTTTCATATTGAATAGATAACAAATCGGCAGGTACAGAATCCAATGTAGTACGACGATCAATTCGTGTTCCAGCGTCAGAAAATACCAATGAATCTCGATCTCGTTCGTCATCCATTGAAAATCAACGAGAACAACAACATTCAGCATTATTATCGTCATCAGAAGAAGAAGAAAATAAACGAAAAGACAACTAAATAATAAAAAGATTTATATCTGTCTGTAACGTAATCAAGCATTTCTTTCTCTTCTTAACATGTGCAATAATTATTTATTGCATCACTTATTTATTCTACGAATCAAAAACTAAAATTGACATACTAAACTATAATTTTTTCTAACTACTGGTGGTAATTTCTTTCTTTTTTTCTTTCTCTTCTTATCTCTCTCGGATTGTTCTTCTGTTTTATGGAATAAAAACAAAAATTGAATCTCGTTCTGTTATACTTAACTTTTTTGATACAATCATACTAATATTACATCTCTAATAAATGTAAATGTCTAACATTATATCATTATAGATAGAATGCTTTTTTTCATCTATAGTATTATAATACATCAACAAGTAATTAAGTAGTTTGATTGATGTTATTATATATATTTAATTGTATTTTACTCTTAAGTGTCATATTGTAATGTTAAGAATAGTTCCTAATCTAAAGCAAATTAGAACGAAGTATCTTGTTTTTCGTATATGAATGTATTGATTGTAATGATTTAATAGAACTTATAGAAAAACAACTCATTTCTAGGCTTATGACATCTATTTTTCGTTTATATAAAATACACGATCATATGAGCGTATCTGATCAAGAAACCGTAGAAATTGATTTCACACCACCCTATAAAATGATTAAACTTCATTAAATATTTTGGAAATGTAACAGGTAAATAATTTTTAGTTAGTAGAGTTTTCGGCATTAAGTAATTAGAGGCTGTAAAGCTTAATCTTAATTACTTATTTATTTTCTTGATAATTTCTACAAAAAATCTAATATAATACTAAGTTATATGAATGTAGATGATGATGAAGGAATTCACGTTGATAAGTATATAAACAGATAAAGCGATCTATTATCAAACGATTTTGGTTGTCTATAATAAGTGTAATTGTTATACTGGCTTTAAGTACTTTACCTTTAAATAATTTATTTTTCATTGTTATAATTCTAATGATATGAACATTGTAAGTATTCTCCTCTCTGTCATCAGACAATGAATTTATTAATTATTAGCTGACACGAATACTTAGAATAGTCTCTATAAGATTATTTTAATTTATATCTCGGTTATTTAATGATTTTGACCGAACATATAATTTTGAAAGTTCTTCAAAAAACTTTAAAGTGATTTGAATTGTTTCAGATTATTTTTTAATGGAAAAATTACCAATTTTATTTATATTCGATTTTGATGAGACATTATCAGTCCGTGCATCTTGTTATCCTATAGAAGAACTTGCTCCTAATAAAGAAAAATTAAATCTTGATGATATTAATCATGGTTATGTACATGTTCATCATTGTTGGAACAGACGTATGAATGAAGTACATAAACAACTTGCTGAACAAGGTATTAATACAGAACAATTAATTGAAGCATTTCGTACGATTGAATTAAATCCAGGTACTGCCGAACTCTTTCGTGATATACATATTAATAATCATAAAATAATTATTATAAGTAATGCATGTGATCTCCTGATTGAAGAATGTCTTCGCGCACAAAATTTACTACAATATGTAGACGAAATCAAAAGTAATCCAGTACGACAACGCGAACCACTTATAATTATTGATGAATACGAAAATCCTTTACAAACAAATTGTACATTTTGTCAACCAAATCTATGTAAAGGTTCAATTATCGATCAATATCGTAATAGCAATAGATATGATAAAATAATTTTCGTTGGTGATGGTGATAATGATGTTTGTGCAGCTTTACGTTTAGATAAAGCAGATTATGCTTTTGCTAAATACGATGAAGAATCAGAAACAACTTATAAAATGTATGATTTATTAAAAAATCAATATTTTAAGCAATTAAAAACTGAATTACTTCTATGGAAAACAATGAAAGATGTTCACGACATATTAAAAAAGAAAAATATTCTCTAATAATTAATTTATTTGTACTGTATGGATCTTAAGATCACAGTTTTTTGCGCAATAAAAACAAAAAAAAGACTTCTTTTATTTTTCTAAACTTTTAGATGACAATCACACTTACAAAACGTTTAACTTCAAATATTTTATTATCTAATAATCGACAATTTTGGACTTGGTTGAATATTGTCTGGAATAGGTAATATAAATTGAAACTAGGAGTGTCATTCAAAAGAATCTATATCTAACGTTAATTTAAATCATCATAATATAGATGTTCGTTCATAAGATATTTTAAAACCTTCTCAAAATTAAATACTATTTTGACTAAGACACAAAGTAAGTCTATGTCGAAAAAAACCCTCGATTTCCAAAGATCATGCAGATTTATGATCACATCTATATCACTAGACAATTTACATAATAGAATAGTATATTATTCCTTGAGTATTGTTTTAATCGATAGAAATAAAAGTAAAGCATATAAATCATCGATTTTTGAATTTTTATCAATACGGTATGTTATACATCTATTATTAAGATAGTGATATCTATCACATTAAAACTTATGAAAAGGCAAGTTTTAATCGAATTCGCTTTCTATAGATATGATCGAAAACGTGTTCAAGAAATTGGCCCTGATCGTGCTTGTGCTGAATGGTTATTAAGATGTGGCGGTTCAGTACGTTTTAAGAATTCGACTTCAGTCACAGCAGATTATAATGCTATACCAAGTGGTACTTCGGGACAAAACAAAATCGAAGAAATTCGTGCTGTTAAAGCTTGTATTACATCTGATGGCTTTTCTTATTTAGGTTTTCTATTAATTAATATTATATTATTAATATTTCTATTCATTTTCTAAATAGATGGATTGACTGCTCTAAAGAAAATTCATTTAGAAAAATGTGACCAACTTCCAGATAGTATGTTAGAGATATTAGAGATGATTCTCTCAATGAATTTATTTTAGGTTCTATCTCTCGATTGAAACAAGTCAAAGATACATTAGAGTCTATAGCTTTAATTGATCTAGTTCAAATAAGTGAAAATGGTGTTGGCGATTTAACTGATTTAAAGTAAAGAATTGATATTTTTTATTTTCAAAAAATATAGACAAAAATTGTTATTGTAGAAATTTAAAACAAATTGATTTAGCTCGTTTACCAAACATTAAAAATCGTGAAGGAATAATCAAACTATTAAATAGTGAATTACCAGGGTGTAATGTCAATTATGATGATAATTATCCATCTGCTCCTGAACTTCAAGAAA